GAGTGGCAGCGTCGCTGCCTGTCTCTGCTCCTGCTTAAGGGCAGATATCACTGGCAGCACGCCCGTGAGCTCCCTGCTGTCGACAAGACGCGAGAACTTGCGTGTCTGTCAGCTGACTGATACAGGGAGTGAAGATCAGTGGAGGGAAGGCGATACCTTCCTTTTCATTGGAGCAGAAGTTTGGTTGCACGTGTGAGAGAAGGCGAGGTCTCTCGTTTGACATCGTGAGTGTGCTCGTTTGCTTTGGGGTGGCTGTTTGCAGAGCCAAAGTTAATTCTGCCTGGCTGAGCCGCCGCCTTTCCCCGGGCTCCCCACGGCACGTGCGGCAGGGATGCCGTTGCCGGCAAGAGCAGCTCGTGCTGTCGGAGCTGCTCCTGCAGATTAGCGCCGGCTTTTAAAACTATTAATAGGGGAACCTCCATCACGGAGGGTGACTTAATGTAAGATCTTGCTCGCTGATTAGTTTAAATCTTCCTTTTATTTAATGAGATTCGGTTCTTAGGTTTTTACACGTTGTTTAAGTAATGTTTATAAGCAATTCTACTGCAGCCATTACATTTATCGGCGTCTTCAAAGTTTCAGTGCGCTTTCCAGTGTTCACGTTCCAGCTCTTCTCACCGATCACACACGCACCTGTTTTGCTGGATTGCATTTCACTGCTGAAAATGCAAAGAAAGGATTTGAAATAGCAACGCTTGCCTCATTCGCCTCTAAGGCGACACTGCATGTCTTTCAAGTGGGAGAAAAAGCACAGATTTGTCGTGGTTGGGTTTTTTTATTTAATTTTTTTAAAAAAACGTGACTCGTGCCTCAGAATTCACGGGAAAGCCTGTTTTCTGGCCTTCTTCTGGAGCAGGATTTGCAGCACGGCCAGCGTGGTCCTGCCTTTCCTGAGACCCATGAAGTGGTCGGTGGTTTCTCCTCACCTTCCTCACTTCCCAGGCTGACCGTCAGTTCCCAGAGCTGGCAGGTGGGTGGGTGTTTGTTTTAGGAGACTAAGGAGGGGAGTATTTGCCTCAGCTGGCGTTTGTGTCGGGAGCTGGGGTGCCGGGGCACCAAAGGTTACACGTCTTCCCTGTCTCTCATATTAGCGACTCCCTAATGAGGAGAAAAGCGAGCCGGGGCGAAGGTGTGGTTCTCCGTGTCGGTGCTCCCCACCGAAGACCTGGTGGCCGTTGCTTGGGCTGCGATATCTCTGAAGTTCCATCAAAGAGGAGTTCTGGCGCTCTGCTTCCAACGCTGCCCACACCAGCGAGCCGAGCGGGGTCTCGAGGCCGCCTCCTTTGTAGTCGGTGCTCCGCGCGAGCTTCTTGTCCGCTTTAGCAGCGTGCTTCCCCCCCTCTCCCGCGTGCTTTCATGTCTTCTGTGGCACGATATGTAGATTTATTCATGCTTAATTGGAACATGCGAAAAGCTCAAATATGTAGCCCGTTCTGTTCTTTGTAGAGAAGAGCCACAAGTGACTAATTAGTCCATTTGATCATCTGGATGGTATTTATACATATTTGTTCTTCATTAGCTCAGAAACGTGTTAGTCACATTTGAACTGTGCGGTTGCTTAATCATATTGATCAGAGCAAGGTTGCATTTCCTTTGGAAGTTCTGGGGCTTCTCTGAAGCTGTGGCTCAGCGCAGTGCGAGCTCTTGATGTTCGTTTGTTTCTGGGTTTTGCCTCGCTAGCTATGGGTGCTGTTCCGAGGGAGAGCTCCCTCGGTCCCGTGCCGTGATTTTTAAGTAAGTTTTAATTGAGTTCTGGGCTGGGGGAGGGGGTTGACGGGGAGGCGGTGGCATTCCGAAGGTGCTGGGCTCGGGCTCGGTGGCTTTTCAAGTGCCTGAAATGAGCTTGACGGCTGCTGGCCGGCTTCCACCCCGTACGCTGAGGCTTCAAGCTGAACAGCAGGAGAGAAAAATTGCCTCGCGAGGTTAGAGGCACGGTAAGTAATGCACTTCCAAATGTCAGCTTTTGTGTTCCTTCTCCTTGTCAGAAGAAGTCAAGAAATGTGCGTGGAGTCAAGCTGTAGTTTTAAATAGCAACACGCACAGGCGAGTGGCGCGGAGGACGAGAGCTCTTCCCTGGAACGACGCCTGCCTGGGAGAGAGGGCACAAAGTTACGTGTTGGAGAAGTAATAATTTGCGCAACTCTGATGATTATTAGGTGGGGAGTGAGAGTGCTTACTCTGAGGGCTCAGAAACCGCCTACCAAAGGTTTCTTTTTTTAAGATCAATTAAATGCTGGTGGCTCATTTCCTCTAGTAGATTTTACGGGTTTTCCTGAAGGTTTTTTCTGGCGTTGTGGATCGAAAAACCTCTTCTCATTGAGTGCGTGCCATGTTGGTTTTTTTCGTTGCAGTCCCGCCACGCAATCTGGTCATTGATATCCAGAAAGAAATCGCCGTCGAGGGAGAAGAGATCGAGCTGAACTGCACCGCCATGGCCAGCAAACCAGCCACCACCATCAGATGGTTCAAAGGAAACAAGGAACTAACCGGTAGCTGTATCCCCTCTGTGCCTCGCTTTTTTCAGACAGCTGAAATGATTTATGTAATGCTGGGTATTTGCTCTCTGTTGGCAGTTTGAGAGGAAGGGAAAAAAGGGAAAGAATAAAAAAGGAGAGCGAGCTGCTGCCCATGCCAGCTCGAGAACAAAGGAGTCTATGGGCAGAGAGATTATTCTCTAGCACAGAAGGGCTGAACTCCGTTTGGTCCTCTGCCCGCCTGCCAGCCTCAAGTACAGGCTTCTGGAGTCTTTCTGTAACTGCAGGTGACCTTGAGGAGCCCCAGAGCCGTGCAGCGAATTCATTCCCGCGGCGGCTTAGGTAGCTTTCTGCCCTCTTTCAGGTACGGGTAGGATCATCCGCACTCCGGGCTCTAAAGATTTTCTGTTCACCTTCACATCTGAGCTCTCTTGTTTATGGAGAGTTTTCTCTGCGTTCCGTTGAATATTCATGCGAGGTGGGCTCCTCCGGCTCCCTGGAGCCTGGTCGCTCCCGGTTTTTGCACTTTCAATTCCGTGACTCTGATTGCCTGCGACGTGCTGCGACGTGCTGTTAGTTTAAGTCTGCACGTAGACGTGAGCTCGGCTGACACCACCTTTGTGCTTTCCCCAGTCTGAGGCGCTGAAGGGCTCTCCACCCAAGTCCAGACTCGTTACTTCAAACCTACCCCCCTGCAAGGGCGAGAGAAAACCCTCCCTCTAAGGTTTAATTCTTAAACAAAAAGCCACCGATAGGAGTATTGGAAATTGGAGGCGTGTGGTGAGCAGGCAGTTACCAACTTCCTGGAAAATTCCCTGGAAAAGCCCTTTTTCTGCTGCCTTGCCTTCCCTCGCTCTCATTTCCATGCCGCGCGTTACGGCATCCCCTAGCCCCGGCACCGCGGCTCTGCTCTCCTTCAAACACGGCGCTTCCGCCTACCGCCACGACTTTGAGTCAAGCTAATCTGTTTAATCGCTCTCCTAGCTAATTGTCGATTCGGGAGCGGGAGGGGATTTGTCGCTTATTGATTTAAGAGTTTGGGACTTTGGGGACGGCACGAGGGGACGGGTCGCGGCTGCGCTAACACGAAGTGGACGTTCCTTGCCAGGGACCTGATGGAGAGGTGTGTGGCGACGTGGCCTGTGCCGCAGCTGCAGAGGGGGCCAGTTGCCCACTGGGGATGTGTCGCTGGGCTCGGAAGGGAGGGCGGGTGTGGTGGATCCCCCACGCTCAGTGTGTGCCCCCTGTCCTCTCGCCGGCAGGCAAGTCGGACGTGGAGGAGTGGTCCGACATGTACACGGTGATCAGCCAGCTCGTGCTCAAGGTGGGACGGGAGGACGACGGGGTGCCTGTCATCTGCTTGGTGGATCACCCTGCTGTCAAAGACTTGCAGACCCAGCGTTACCTGGAAGTCATGTGTGAGTAGCGGCACTTTTAATTCTCTTGGCATGTCGAATCGGTCACCGTGCGCCACGCGATAACACTAGAGCGTAGGTGGGGTTGAAATCCCGTTGGCTGAACGTTCGAATCAGAGCGTTGGCTACCGCCTCCGTGGTTCAGCCCCATCTCTTCCTAGCCCTTCCGCAGTACGGTAAATGCAGACCTTCGTTCTCTTAAGAAATAGCTTTCCTTCCGTAGAAGTCGCACTGTCAAAGGTTCCTGGTTGGGCTTTGTAATTGTCAGACCAGATTAAATCTCAGCTCTATTTCTTGTGGCAACCTACTTACTTCTTTGAAAAGTGCTTCTCTGCTACCACGTCAAAGCGACGGGGCTCCATCGTGAGTTTGTGGGCCAAAACTTGGTACGAAAGTGCAAAAGAAACTCGGTGTTGTGCCTCTTGAACACAGAGCACCAACTGCTTTTCTAACTCGGAGTATCGCGAGCTATGGGGAACGTGGCGGCTTGGCCAGAGCCCGGAGCTCTGTGCACACACACCCTGCTCAGATTGCAGCTCCCGAAAGCAGGGTGAGACCGTCCTCGCAGCAGGGCCGGGGTGCCCCAGAAAACCGGGCGCTAGCAGGATTCAGAGTGTTTATTTTTGTAGGTTCACTTCCACCGTAGCATTGCACTGGAAGGAGAAGAGAAAGTTTCGTATTAATTTATTTCATCTGCTTCATTATGTAGTTTCATTATGAACATCTTGGTTACAATTCTCGTATCTCTGAAACTAGCGGGAAGTAATGTTCCTGTAATGAGGAAAACAGAAATGATCAGATACTACCTAAATTGGCCGATACTAGATTTCTTGCAACTGGGCTAATGTGTAATTCATTTATGCAAACTTAATGTCCATTAACATTTCTCGTAGAGCTCCATTAGCTTTAATAATACATTAGCACCTTTGTGAGGCTCGATCAAATACTTAACGGGGGAAAAGAAGAAATCCCATCTCCCCTGTTCCGCGGAGGTGTTGAAGCCTTGCTGGGTTTCATCCCCTCGGTCGAAAGGGTGTCGCATTGCCCTTGGCTTCCTTGCAGAAATTCCCCTGAAACCCCGATCGTCCGACGGGCTGGGAGGGGGCTGCTGTTTCTGCAAGAAATTTAACAGCATTCTTCCTCAAACAAGTCCCCTCTAGCCTTTCGGACCGGTTTGGGTTTGTGTTCTGGTCCGGATCAAACTCGGAGCTCGTTAGAAGTAATTCTGTTTGTGCGCGGGGACCTGACCCGCGGGAGCCCGGTCGGTTCCTTGGGTGGGCGGCCCCAGGTGGCTCGAGAGAAGAGCACCAGCAGAAGAATACATCACGCATCGGCACCTCGCGGCTCCCCGCAGTGAGCAGCGTCGGGACGTCGTGCGCTGGAGCGCGTCCGGGTGTTTGCCCTCAGGTCCTGCTGCTGGGCCTGAGCTTAGGGCAGAAGATGCAGCTGCGGAACGAACCTTCGCCCTCAAGCTTGTCCTGCTGCGGGCCGATGACTCGTTGGCCGACGGCAGACCGCGAGCGGAAGGAAAATCCTCTTGTCTTCACGGACGGCGATGCTTCTCGCGAGCGACCGGAGCCTGGCGATGGGTGCCGTGTACTCAAGAACGCTTCCGCGGAGGCCGAGAGGCCCAGTGGCCCAGTGCTGGTCCGCAAAACGTCGCCGCGTCCAGCTGGAGCTGCCGTCACCTCGTGATTCAGATCCGGCAGCGAGGGATGGGAGACCGGCGTGTTGAGGGTAATTTTAGAAAGGAAATGAAGCAACAAAATGCATTAAAGTATCATTAAGGAATTGAATGGAACCAAATATTCTCGGAGACATTTGAGTTCATCCTTCGTGGTGCTTCTCCTTATCTCATTACATGATACTGGAAGTGGAAGCGTCCCAGTCTTGATTTGCCATTTTGTCTGGGTTGGGTTTTTTTTTTGCTTTTCTGAAGTTATAATTAATTGCACATTCATTCTTATAATACCTACCTGTGTACTTTTCAAATACGCACTGATGGAACCTGTTACAGCCTCTGCTGTTACAATGGAGAATGTTTTGCACCCAATTACGTTAAAAATCGGCCATATATATGTCTGCCGCCGCACCGCCAAGAACCCTTCTGCTTCTATCGAGTACCAATATTAATTGCGTAGTACGCAGCGAAGTGATTAACATCGATGTAATTTATCATCCGGAGGTTTCTAAAAACGAATAAATGAGTTGTTTTGTTCGGCGAGGTGTTGACCCCTTCAGAAACGTTGATTTAAAGCTTTTCTTTTTTTTTTTTTAATTTCTTTTTTCTTTCAGCGAATATGAAAGGCACCACAATCAGCCAAGTGTTCAGTTATTTGATTTTCTGGGGCATTAGCCGCTCTTGTTTGTGACATTTCCCAGTTGGGTGCTCGTTTGCAAGCTCATTAATAAGGTTTTCTCGGAGGAATGCTGTTGGGAGCATGGAGCAGCCTGGACGCTGCCCTGCGCGGGCGGCAAGCGGCAGAAAACCCTCGGCACGGGGAAGATGCCGGCCGGCCACGCTCGCCTGCATGTTGCCGACTGAGCGTCTGTCGGATGTCGGGAGAACCTCAGCGTTGACCTCCTGTGCCCGTTCCTGCTCTTCTGTGCTGGAGCTCCGGGCCCCCCAGCTGGCTGTGGAGAGCTTGTCTTCCTCAGTCGGGTTTGGCGTGGTTTTCCCCCAAAGCAGCGCGTGGGAGGAAGGCTTTCGCCCGTCGTCCCACCTCAGCTGGCAGCGCGTTGGCCGGGGAAGGTTGGCTGGCGAAGAGGAGAAGTCTCCTGGGCTCCAGCAAAGAAGCAGCCTTGCCCAGAAACGTTTTCCCTGTGTTAGGAGCGAGCGTTTCGGTGCGGATCCTGTGCTTGGAGCGGACAGATTGCTGCGTTGCAGGAGCGGTGTCGCTTGCGCGGAGAGCGCTGGAGGGCCGCGGGAGCTGCTGCGGCGCGATGATTCAACGCAAGCGTGATTGGCGCGCCCCCAAAGCACACGGCCCTTCTCGAGCAGCTCCTGCACGCGGCGAGATTAGCGGCCGCGGAATGCAATTGATTGTGTCTGCTTTCCTCGTTGTGCATATTCCGGTTGTGTTTCAGGGCAGAGGCACGCGGGCAAGGCCGTAACCACCTCTCGCGTGCCTTCTCGCCTTTGCCAAGCAAACCAGCCTTTTACTGAGGTGTGCGGGCGTAGTCCCTGGTAACAGCCCTGCCCGCTGTGTGTTGCCAGCCCAGCCGACCCTGCCGGAGCATCGTGGTACCCCAGGCATGCGAGGAGGTCAGGCTTTTGCCAAATCCCCCTGGTAACTGGCTTCGAGGCGGGGAACTTGCCCGCCTCGGGGATGGGAGGTTGGCCTGATGAAAGGAAATGGGTAGGAATAATAGGCTTAGGCTTTTGTAAGGCGTTTTATCTTGGCTGATTAACGGGATCCGAGCATTATCAATGGAGCACACCTTTAAATGGATTAAGAAATCGCTGACTGGCAGATCGCAAAGGACA